TAAATGTGCCAAATAACCCAACAATGTTGCTAACGCAGAAATGCGCTCATCGCAACCAGATCTAAATCGGACGAAACAAAATTTATCGCAAAGAAAAAGAAATTAAGCAAAAAATAGTATTATTGCTCACACAAAAATGCGATCATCGCAACCAGATCGAACTAACACAAATGTCACGCGTCATGCACACAAATGTGCAAACATCGTATCGACATAATTCGATCAAAAATCTTATATACATAAACTCTAACAATTTAAAAATTATATATATATAAACGTAACAGTAATAGATAAAGAAAAAGAAATAACGGTAATAGATGAAGAAAAAGAAATAACGGTAAAAGATGAAGAAAAAGAAACAACAGTAATAGATGAAGGAAAAGAAATAACGGTAAACGATGAAGAAAAAGAAATAACGGTAAAAGATGAAGAAAAAAGAAACAACAGTAATAGATGAAGGAAAAGAAATAACGGTAAACGATGAAGAAAAAGAAACAATAGTAATGGATGAAGAAGAAAACTAAATAACGGCCAACGGCCCTCACTCCTCTTAGGTTTTTTTCCTTCTCTCCCTCTTTTCCAACAAGGCAACACATGTATATATAGGGAACAAATTAGGGTTAACACCAAATTGTCAATAATGTCCCTAAAGCCCATTTTAAAGCCCAAACTAAATAATTAGTTAAGAAAAAATAAAATTTAAATAATTTAAAATAATTAAAATAAACTTAAAATAAAAACTAATAATCCTATTGATTCCTAAAATAAAAAATATTATAAAAAGAACAAAATTTTTTTCAATATTTTTTTATTTTATGATTTTTTGGATATTTTTATGAATAATTTAGAAAAAAGTGAAAAAAATAATATTTTAAAAAATGATTTAATTAAAATACGAAAATAATAATTAAATAATAATAAAAAACTATTTTTGTTATTTTTTTAATGAAAGATAGAAAAATTTAGAGTAAAAATAATAAAAACAACAAAAAGTGCCAAAGGTGAGATTCGAACTCTCAACCTCTCACACTCATAACTCCTTACACATGTCCTCCTGCCAATTGTGCCATTTTTACTTTTTAGAAAAAAAAAGTGCATGTCATATGATATTTACCTGCAAAAAGTCAAACGACTACACAAATTTGTTAGTAATTGATTAAATGCAATGAAATGCGACGACAAATCTTAGGGCAAAATTTGGGGTATTACAGTTATTATGATAATATTTCTCACCCAACCTCTCTTTGATGTTGGCAAAAAAAATCATGAAGTTTGACTTTGGTTTGACCACAGTTGACCTCAGTTTGACCTTTTAACTGCATTGATTGCTTTTGACTTATCTGATCATCTGACTGAGCAAACTTTTGAGAAAAGTCTTGAAACTTGACATGGGGGTTCTTATACACATATAAGATGTTATGAAGCTCACTTGAAGTCTTGGAAGTCCATTTAGCCTGATTAAAGTCAAAACCCTAGTTTTGGATGCACTGCTTAGGAGGTGCATTGTCTGAGGGAATTGTCAACTCTTCTGACCAATTATGAATTTTGTGAACCTTGTGAACCTTCTTGGAACACAAAGTCTTGTATTGTGAGGGCAAATTTTGGGGTGCAACAACGTGGAACATGTTGAACTTCTGCGGAGTCAAAACTTTGCATATTTTCCGTAATGAGGGCCAGGTACTCGGTCAGGTTGTCATTTTTCGCCTGGTATTCCCCCCGTACTTGCGAAGCGACCAGCTGGGAGTCCGTGAAGATTCTTATTTCCTTGGCCCCGAGGTCTGACGCTAGGCGAAGCCCGGCCAGGAACGCCTTGTACTCGGCCTGGTTATTTGTTGTTGGGAAGGCTAACATTAGGGAAACCTCTATAATGGTGCCTTCCTCGTTTTCGAGGATGATGCCTGCGCCGCTGCCCGAGGAGTTCAAGGAGACATCAACGAAGATAGTCCACTTGTGATCACCCGGGGTAGGCTCTGGCGAGGGGGTCATCTCGGCGACAAATTCGGCCAGGACCTGAGCTTTGAAGGCTTTCCTCCCTTCGTAGATGATGTCGAACTCGGACAGTTCTAATGACCACTTCAGCATCCATCCAGCCATGTCCGGTCGGCCGAGAAGCTGTTTGATGAGTTATTCGGTCCTGAGCACAATGGTGTGGGCCAAGAAGTAATGTCGGAGGCGGCGTGCGGCGGTTATGAGGGCCAATGCAACCTTCTCGATCTGCTGATACCTCACCTCAGGGCCGTGGAGGGCTTTGCTCGTGAAGTAGATTGGCTTTTGTCCCTCGGGGGTTTCCCTGATCAGCACGACGCTGACGACCTCGTTTGCCACGGCCAGGTACCGATACAAGGTTTCTCCCACTTCGGGCCTTGTTAGCACGGGCGGTTCTGATAGGGCGCGTTTGAGGTGATGGAGGGCTTGCTCGCATTCCTCTATCCATTTGAACGCGGCTTTCTTTCTGAGTAACTTGAAGAAAGGGAGGGCGTGCTATGCGGATTTGGCGATGAATCGGGAAAGCGAGGCGAGTACGCTGTTGAGGGATTGTATGGATTTCTTTGAGGTGGGTGTGGTGATTTCCAAAAAAGCTCGGCACTTGTCCGAATTTGCTTTGATCCCTCGCTTGGTCAGATAGAAGCCGAGGAACTTCCCTGCTCGGACCCCGAAGGTACATTTTTCCGGGTTGAAGTGCATTCTACATTTCCTCACTGTGTCGAAGACCTTTCTGAGGTGAGTCGTGTGATCGACTTCTGTGCAGGACTTGACAATCATGTCGTCCATATATACCTCGAGCATGTCGCCAATCTCTCCTCGAAAGACATTGTTCATCATCGATTGGTATGTGGCGCCGATGTTCTTTAGGACAAAAGGCATTACGTTGTAGTAATAGTTGCCCGACTCCGTCATGAAGGTCGTGCTTTGTTTGTCGCATTCGTCCATGGGGATATGGTTGTATCCCGAGTACGCGTCCATAAAGGAAAAGAGTTTGAAGCTCGTCGAGCTGTCGACGAGCTTCTCGGTGTTAGGGAGGGGGTAGGCGTCCTTAGGACACGCCCGGTTGAGGTCGGTGTAATCAACACACATGCGCCATTTTCTATTACTCTTTTTAACAAGTACAACATTGGACAGCCAGGTTGAATATCGGGCTTCCGAAATAAAATTTGCCTCTAGGAGTTCTTTTACAGCTTTTTCAGCAGCCGCTGACTTTTCGGGGGACTGCCTATGCCTACGTTGTGCTACGGCCTTGGTGGTCGGGTTGATGGAGAGCTGATGGCAAGCGACCTCAGGGTTGAGTCTGGGCATCTCCGCTGCGCTCCAGGCGAAGAGGTCTGCATTCTCGCGGAGGCAGACTTTCAGTTGTTTCCTCGCCAGGCGGGGCAGTCCTGCTCCGATCTTCACGGTCCTAGTTTTGTCGTCCCCGAGTTCCACGATCTCGAAATCACCGTCGGGGATGGGGCGCATCGGGTGGATGGGATTCCCGTTGGACGGAGGAGCATCGCTGGCTTCGTCTTCGCGGTCGGACTCTTCGGTGAAGCGGCTGTCGAGGTCTACCGAGCCGACGAGCTCCTTGGGTTCGGTCTTCGGAGTAGTGGTGGGCGCTGCTTTTTTGGTCGCTGGGGCGATTGTGCTTAGGCCTTTCAGCGCGGCCTCGAAGCATCTCTGGGCAGCCTCAATGTCGCTGTTTAGGGTGACCACGACCCCCCGCCTTATGTAGTACTTCATTTTTAGGTGGACGGTGGAGGGCACCGCGGTGGGCTCTGCTTCTAAGGAAGACTTTAAAGATGGAATTAGAACTTATGCTATTCATTCAGGTAGAACCTTCAATTGATACTATGACCAATTTATGGTGTGCATTTATTCTTGTATATTATGGGAAACAAACAAAATTAACATTTCAGCAAATATATTTCATTGATAAATTTTGACACATACATAACAATGTTGACAGACACATTTCAACCTCCTTTTTCACAAATACATGTCATTACACAGAAAAATAACCAACCTAAAAAAAATTGTTACAAATAAAATATTACACATTAAGCTCAGTATTCCAATGATTACAGACAATTTCAACCATCCCCTAGTGTTGATGATTTCATTCTTCAATTTGTAAGTTTTCTTCTTTTGCCTCTAGATCTTCAAATCACTTTCATCAATAATATCGGCGTCGAACATTTGAAGAAATTACATCCCTTATTCACATGATTTTTGAAATTTCTGCAACCCCAAAAGTTTTTCTCAAAATTGACTCTACTCATGTCCTACAGTACGAAGCACACATTCATCTTGGCAAAAACACTCCCTCCCCTTGTTTCTGCGAATAACAGATCCAGATGTACAAATGGAAGTACTGCTTGACAATTTAGACATTGGAGACGAAGGATAAAACCCTGGGAATGGAGATAAAATGAAAAGAACAAGATGAAGGAACCAAATACAAAAACGAAGCTTATAACCTAGTTATTCCTTTCAGCAGTGCCAAACAATAAGAAGGAAGAGATTATAAAGGTCTTTCTTTTACGAAGCTTTTTTCCGGAAATTATTGATGTCAACCCAACATTTAACCTTTTAACACATGAATTATTTATTCATTTGATGACTAGGCACGCAGTTGGCATGCCACCCTGACATTTACTAAGAGTCTAACACCTAAAGTAACATAATGTATTAAATATGTTAACAGAAATGCATTTGCAGGATAAAATTGAATCACTTTTTTTATTAAAGAACTATATCGCAACTCATAAATAACTTACGAGATTTGAGAACTAATTATGTCTAAATTTTATTATTATCAAGAGATTATTTTTAGTTTGTTGTTTTTAAATTATATTTTCACGAAATAAATAAACATAGATCCAACCTAAAAACTAGAAATTGCAATGTCTAGCTGGTTTCCATTGTCCCCTCAAAAAAAGTCAAAGATTTCATATTCCCATCACTGCATTGTTCATTCACAGTCACTTCAACTTCCCATCTTCCTCATCGTTCCTCGAATAGTAGCCATGACTGATGAAGTTGTTCTGCTAGATTTTTGGCCTAGTCCTTTTGGAATAAGAGTGAGGATAGCCCTTGCTGAAAAGGGTATCAAGTATAGATACATAGAAGAAGATTTGATGTCTTTGAAAAAAAGCCCTTTGCTGCTAGAAATGAACCCGGTTCAGAAGAAAATCCCGGTTCTCATTCACAATGGAAAACCCATTTTTGAATCTCTAATTGCTGTTCAGTATATTGATGAAGTTTGGAATGATAGATCTCCTTTGTTGCCTTCTGATCCTTATCAGAGATCACAAGCTAGATTCTGGGCTGACTATGTTGACAATAAGGTAACCCTTCTCATGTTCTTCAATATTGCTGTATTATAATAAGGCCTCGTTAAAATAGTTTCCGCTATATACGATCTGCAATGCTGAGAACAAAGCTTATTAGAGGGCTTAAGTTCACCTCTCAATCTCGATCGATTGTATGTATATGTGACAAAGGAATACTTTTAGTTTTTTGGTCTTACATTTTACAAATTTGATTGAGTGTGATAATTGTTGAAATCAAATAGATATATTCAATTGGAAGGAACATTTACACCAAAAAAGGAGAAGAACAAGAAATTGCAAAGAAGGAATTCATAGATACTCTCAAACTGCTAGAGGAGCAGCTGGGAGAGAAGTCTTATTTTGGAGGAGACAAGTTTGGTTTTGTGGATATTTCACTCATTCCATTCTACAGCAGACTAAAAGTTTTTGAGACCTTTGGCAACCTCAACTTAGAGAATGAGTGTCCCAAGTTCATTGCATGGACTAAAAGATGCATGCAGATTGAGAGTGTTTCCAAGTCTCTTCCAGAGCAGGATAAGATCTATGAGTTTATTGTTGACATGAGAAAGTTGTTAGGCATTGAGTAGGTTGGTGTTTTGGAGATGCATGGTCACAGATGAATTGAGTTCTTGTCTTTTGTTAATTAACTTTCTTCACCTTTCTTGTTAAATAGTGAGGTAATAAAAGCACAATAGTTATGAATCTTCAAATCCTATGCTTTCTGCAGGAAGGTGCTGTAAAACATACAAATCCCTCTTTTATTAGAGATATGAAAGAAAAGAATTTTCAAAAATCTGATGACATAGAGCACACAACAATATTAAATTTTCTTAAATGAGAGCTTTGTCATCTATTATGGTCTTTTCCACCTTGAATAATAAGTCTCTGCAATTGATCGCAAAAGATATTCGGTTAAAAAAAATAATGACATATTTTTGAGACTAATATTTCTGAAGCATCTATGGTGTGTATGCTGGTATTGTTTACAAGAATTTAAATTATGCATATATGTATGGTGTGTATGCTGGTATTATTTACAAGAATTTAAATTATGCATATATGTGGGGTAAGCAAAACTTCTAAATTTGGGCAACTGAGTTTAAATATATGAAAATAGACAGTAAAATTTAAAAATATTAGACATATCTCCATGTACAATGCAAATGCAAGAGTAAGTTCTATTAAATTATTATTAATAATTATTGTAGTTTTAAAAATAATTTTAAGTGGATGGGTAATTCAAACGGTCTTGGTTCAATTGCCGACGGCATCATTAATTTATATTAATACATTTTTGTATTTGATTGAGAATTTTGATTAACTTAAAGAGATGGAATCTCGATGTCGTGGTGCGGATCTCTAGCACAATATTATAGAAGTAAATTTGTAAGGTTGACACTTAAATACTCAAATCAATTATATATAATACACAATGTTAATGGACTTTGCCTTATTGGACTTGGACTTAGCACTTTGGTCTCGTCCATATTAGAAATTTGACTGACCCAATCAGTTGCACTTAAGACTTGCCAAAATTAGAGGTGATCATCTCATCATTAAAGTCATTAGAATTTTTTAATCTACCCCTTGATATTTTTATCCACCTAGCACATTTCTTTTTAAGCTCCCTGTTTTTAGAGCTGTATTTTCGGACACACCTTTTTTTCTCTTTACGCTAGATGCTTCTGGAGACACATCTATAGAAAAAGTTCTGTAGATGCATCTCCGTAAATAAAAAGTTTTGTAGACACAACTACAGATAAAGTTCTGTAGATGCATCTACGGAAAAAGTTTCAGAACAATTTTTTTTAAAAATTCAGATAAAGTTCTGTAGATGCATCTACAGATAAAAATTAATTGATGCAGATGAATATAAAATAACATACATCAGTAAATAAAATAATATGTATTTTGGACTGGGCCGACACTTGGCACACAATCGAGCAGGCCCAACCCCCACTAGGTTGGAAGACCCAATAAGACCTCGGCGTCGGGCAGAGACCTGTCGGACATAACCTCTTCTCCTGCCGGGCACGGGCCAACGACAGTCGAGCAGGATCCTCATATTTTCCCGACTCGCCCCTCTTCTGCCCCACTGTCGGGCAGAATCCATCCAACTCAGGAAGCTCTTATGACCTCCCCCACGTTCTCAACGTGTCCCCTATGCGGAGACACGTCATCAGGTAACTATCTGTGCCTTGATTATTCGGTCATCCACCTCCCGGATAGCACGAAACAGTTACACTAAGCGAAGACCACGTGCTGGTCTTCACGACACCATGTCAGCCCTAGCAGTTACCAGCGTTGGGTCTGGAAGCCCAGCCCAACGCCTAATAATCGTTGGTCTTGCGCTGGGGGCTCATTATAAATATTCACTTCCACTAGAGGGTCAGTTAGAATCATTCTTACTCCTTTCTCTCTGTACTTATTATCACTCTACTCGACCCTTACTTTGGCATTAGAGTATGTTTCAGGTACACCCCCCCCCCCCCCCCGGTCCGTTAAATCAACAGTCCGACAGCTCAGACGCATAGCAGACCAGCGATCTCTTCTGATCAGGTACGATCAATATGATATATATATATATATACATACATATATATATATATATATATATATATATATATATATATATATATATATATATATATATATATATATATATATATATATATATATATATATATATATATATATATATATATATATATATATATGTGTGTGTGTGTATGTATGTATGAGAAGTCATATGTCATAAACATCATTAAACCCTAAACCTATATATATATATATATATATATATATATATATATATATATATATATATATATATATATATATATATATATATATATATATATATATATATATATATATATATATATATATATATATATATATATATATATATATATATATATATATATATATATATATATATAGCTTAAGTGCAACTATGGTCCCCCTATTTTGCATTTTTTTGAGTTTGGATTCCTCCATTTTAAAAATCACAATTTTAGTCCCTTTTTTAAGTTTTGAGTTTGATTTTAGTCCCCTCTCCAATTTGAGATTTTTTTTAATGATGTGGCGCTATCTAAGATGATGTGCCAATGCCAAGTCATTTTAAAATTAATTTGAGACTTTAATTATTGATTAGGATAATCAATTTATTAATATTATTTTCATTTATAAATTATTAATTTTTTTATTATTAATTTTTATATTTAATTAATTAATCAAAATTTTAAATGAAACACTATGGGCCTAATCTTTTTGTCCTATGTCTTTGGTTCATCTTTTTAACACACAATTGATTTTTTGTGTTTGTGTAAGATACATAAACACTAACAACATTTGTAATAAAACCAATGTGGGACTACTATAACACCATTAAGCCTTTTGCCAACCATGACAGTAGCTCCTTGACAAAATCTTCAAGAAAAGCTGGACGGTGTATTTTATAACTACCCCAATAAAGCCCATGTATTGTCCAATTCTGCCAGTGATTGTAATCCAAAAAAAAAAGAACAATATCCAACAATTAATACTAGCTATAACATAATTAATATAAATATGCAATAAGGGCAATGGAAAAGAAAGGACTCAATAGACGTTTGCAGATCCAAAGATAACACAAGTTTAATTATGCTATTTGTAAAATTTTAGCCATAAAAGTGTTGCAGCAATTTCATCGCAATGGTGTCTATGTACTTTATAATCCTAATTTCTTTAAGCAGGTAAATATCACATCTCACAATCTTGGAATAGAACCATAGGTCAGTTGTTTAGTGATGACTGATGAGATAGAATAGGACAATATTATATTGACATTTTGTTTGGCTTTGGGTTTTGTTCTGCTTTAGATACATAGCATAAAGTAAGAATAGTATCTAAGAAGGAATTTTTCAGCATCACTTTCTTAAAGGAAAGAGAGATCAAATCAATATTGATGGGAGATGTAATCCCTCCATATCTCTTTCCAATTTATTCTTATATTAATGTAATTTTAAATTCAAAATGTATGTGAATAAAGCATGATAAGATCAAGAAACAAGAAATCATACATGAAGTTATTTAGTGATCAAGTAAGACAAGATAATTGCATAATCTGAAATTCCATTCTTGATTTACCTTAACAAGAGCTATGTTAGCAGGGATGACAAAAATTTCTCCACTTGCAAACCCAATTGTTAGAGCATGTTTGTAAACGTTTAAAAAAACTGCCAAAAAATTCTGCCATAAAATTTCCACCCTCTGTTCTATTTATTTTCAAGTAGGAAATCTAGCACAAAAGGTCAAAAACAGGATGTCATATTATAGAGAAAGAGCTGAGAAAACATATAAGAGTGATACTAATTATGAAAAGAGAGCTACAGGTAGAGGGTGAAAAGATGAGATAGATAACATAGCATAATAGTAAATGGTGTTATACTAGTCCCACGTTGTTTTCATTACAAGTGTTGTTAGTGTTTATAAATCTTACACAAACATAACAAATCAATTATGTGTTAAAAAGATAGACCAAAGAGGTGGGGCAAAAAGGTTAAACCCAAAGTGTTTCATTTATAATTTTGATTAATTAATTAAATATAAAAATTAATAATAAAAAATTAATAATTTATTTATTTATTAATGAAAATAATATTAATAAATTAATTATCCTAATCAATAATTAAAGTCTCAAATTAATTTTAAAATGACTTGGCATTGCCACGTCATCTAAAATAGCGCCACATCATTAAAAAAAATGTCTCAAATTGGAGAGGGGACTAAAATCAAACTCAAAACTTAAAAAAGGGACCAAAATTGTGGTTTTTAAATGGAGGGATCAAAATCCAAAAAAATACAAAATAGAGGGACCATAGTTGCAATTAAAATATAGTACATAAAAAAACACCATAGTTACTTTTGTGTGTGTCTGACAACATCTCCATCATCTCTTCTGCCTATGCCTCCTCTGCCTCTACCGCCTCCTCAACTGCCTGGTCTGTGTCCTCAGCCATTGATCCCACCCGTCTTGGCGCAATGCCTGTGGTACATAAGTTCCCCCTCTGCCACCATAATCATCCCATCCAATATACGCTTGCGATCAGACCCTTCAGGGAAGAAATCAGGGTCAATGCATGCTCGTTCCATCTCCACTATCTGATGACAGCGAAGCAGGACATCCTGAGTATGGTCCAACTAAGACTGTTGCTCCTCTAAAATCTCCTAATGAGTTGGTCTGAGCGGCGATCCTTCTGTAGTGGGCATCATGTAGGGGTGTGAGACGGTGAAGAACCACATGATGTAGCCATCAACACAGCTCCAGTCTCTCAACGCTCTGGTCGCCTAAGCCTATTCCAGTACCATGTGCCTCTGATAGTCATCATAGATTTCCTCTATCTGCATACTAGTCAAGTCGAGAGGAGCAGAAACAACTGGGTGTCTAGACATCATCTGTGTGTACCCGAACTGCGTATGATGCGCTCGAGCAAATATGGAACAGTGATGGTCGAACTGCATGCCAACCATCTTAAGAATAGTGAGATGTCATCAAACAGGCGCGTCAAACGGTGATCAGCATAGACGTTGTAGCAGATGTCCTCAACAGCCTAGAGATCAAGATAGAATCTATAAGGATCGATCACCTAGTTCCCACTGAGCGGGAGAAAAGCACGGACACACGACATCAGCTCTGTATAATCAGGCACAACACGCCAATGTAGCCACCCCTTAGTTGTACTCATCGATCCGTGTGGAATCCAAAAAGTACCTGAGGTAAGCGACATCGGTATATGTGGAGCTCGTGTCCACAAATAGCTGAGTGCCGACTAAAAATAGAAAATAACACCTCCACACACACGACATGTGTAACTCAACCTCATCTGGATCACCATCTTCCTACCGTGCAGCAGCGAACACCTCACCAAATTTATGCATCAGAAAGGAGAACCTCACATGAGTCCCTCTGGTCTTATCCACCTCCTCAAGCGCATTCAGTGGATTAGCCCTAAGCTCCTCCAGCAACGTCTCTCTCGCATCCTCCTCCGCATCTTATCGTGACGAAGGAGGGTACCCCTGATTAGTATATGTAACAGACAAGAGATTTCGTCCAGTGTAATCGTGATCTCGTTATGCGGTAGATGGAAGAAGGACGTCTCAAGGTGTCATCTCTCTACAAATCCCATCAACATCTTGTTGTTGCTCAGGTCGTAATCGATCTCACAAAGGTCCTTCAAACCAGAGGCGGTAAGGACTTTTTGAAACCAAGTCTCCTGTGACTGATCTAAAGCTAATATCTTCTACCCATGGTTATAGAACTTCTGCGGACAACAAGTCTGAAAATTTCCATAAATAAGAAACAATGTTAATAAGAAACAATGGTACAAATTATAAATTTCCAATGAAAAAAAAACAATCTGATTAATGTTACCTATCCATCCCAGACATGTTTGGAAGTATGGTCAGCGTACCCTATCAGCAGAGACATATATGAGGGACCCCCTGGGAAACCCTCAGGATCATCATCATCGTCGTCACCAGTATGCTTCGGTGGTGGGTCATCACCCTCTAGAGGTGGCACCAGATCAATATCATCGGCAGGAGGAGGAACAAGAGTATCTTGGGCATGTGATAAAGAAGGTTGTGCAGTAGGTTGTGCCTCAGTTGTAGGCTCCACTAGAACAAATGTATCAGCCTCGGTAACCGTCTGGCTCCACTCGTTCTGACAGATTCATGCAATGAAACCCGTCCAAGTTGCAATATATCGTCTCTGTCTGCCATAATGTCTGCAAGGTATAACCAAGAAAAAGAAATTAGATACAAATAAATTAAAAAACAAAACAGAAAAAAATTAACATTTTTTACTTCCAGATATGTACACACGAAAAACTTTTGTAGATGTATCTACGGAAGTACCCAGAATTCACAAAATTTAATTTGTTCCGGAGTTGCATCTACGAAATTTCCCTAACGTTAACTTGTTCCGTAGATTTAGCTCCGAATCTTTCTGCAACTCCAACAGTCACGAAAATGGCGCCCCCTACCCATGAAAATCGATTTTTTGAAGTCCTGATCATCCGTTTCAGCCAACAAATAATACGTACATTGTCTCTAAACTATGTTTCTAAAACTATCTAAGAATTTCTACCCCTAAAACTATATTCTAACTCGTTTACGGGAAATACTAAAAAATACCTCAGAAACTCGAAAACTTACCGATTATATCGAGCTTTGAATGATTTGGAGTGTCTTGATCGTTGAAATGGATACTCCTTGTCGGCCTTGATTGGAAAAAGTTAAGTTTGGTGAAAAATGATTTTTTTAAGGATTGAGAGAGTTTGGAGAGTTTGAGAGTGACGAAGATGAAAAATGAAGAATGAGAGAGGAAAAGAGACGCGAATGTATTCCAATATGTAACAGAGCTATATAAACGGAAACATTTTGTAGATGTAGCTCTAGAAAAAACCAACTTTGAGTAAAAAAATGTGCGTCCGGAGATACATCTATGAAAGTAGAGGGTGTTTTTGGAAGCGCACGTAGTGCCTAAGAACCACAAGGGGTGGGGTAAGAAATCTCCTAAAGTCAATCATAAGGAGAAAGAAGTGACCACTACGCCAAAATTGATATTTTGTATCGCCTAATTTAATAGCGCTTTTAAAGAAAGTGTTATTAAAAAGGAAACAAAGACATCTATAATAACACTTTATAGTCGGGGGCTATTATAGAGTACAGAGAATGTGATTTTGATAGCACTTTATAAAAAAATGCTACTATTAAACTTCACTAAAATAGCGCTTTCTTTAAAACGCTATTAATATTCTTCACTAAGATAGTGCTTTTCAAAAAAACGCTACTGAAAGTTTTCAGTAAAATAGCGCTTTTAAAAAAAACGCTATTATTAGACTATCCTATGATAGCATTTACACTAAAGCGCTATTTAATTATAAAATATATAATAAATAATAAAATTAATTAAAAAACCAAAGTCTTTTCTCGGATAAGTTTTTCGTTTTGGCGCACAAAATTTTGGTACTACCGCAAAAAACAAAAACACGGTCTTCCACTCACTCATCTTCTTCCTCTGATTTACTCACGCCATCTCCTTCCTTCATTCATCGATTCACCACCGACAAGAGGAAACACAGTTGATTCAGATTCACCTTAGATTCACCACTCGAATAGAAAGAGGAAGCACGAGAAAGAACGAACAAAGAAAACCCATTCTCCGTCGAACTCAGCCCTTCATCAGCTTACCGCTGTCACCCTTCTCTTCATTGGTATCTAGTAATCTTTCTTTTCTCAGATTATTGCTTTGTGTTGTAAATTGTAAAATTAGGGATTTGAATTTGAAGATAATTTAGTTTCTACCATTGTTGACTAATTATAAGTGAATCCCTAATTTTTCCGAGCTTTGCAATATTTTAACCTAAGGTATTATCGAATACACTTTCGAATTTAGGAGAGACAAAACTTGTATGGCAAAAAGATTTATCAATCTTCATCACTTTTTCCACATGTGTATTTGGTTTGTTTCATCCTCACCTTGGCCCCTCAATTGTCATGTTAAGAACTTAAATGGGTTATAATCTATAAAGCCCAGATGCAAAGTACGCGTGCGGTACGATACAAATACGCGAAAGTTTCAAAAATTTTGAATTGCAGAATACGATATATGATTTAGATCCGTTAACATTTCTTTTATAAAAACATTGTATACATGTAGAATACTTGTAAAAAATGGACATTTCTTCACTAATATAATAACTAAATTACAATTTTCATAGTATATCTAAACCGTTATGTCAGAATATAAAAAAACATCATTAAAAAACTCAAAACAAGTCTTGCTCTATGTAATAACCAACAATTCAAAAGAATTTTTATTAGTTATTGTCTAATGGTAACAGATTTAGTCTCTTCTCCCTTATTTTCATCATCCATAAAAACACGGCTTCTCTAAGTCTTGTTCATCAAGACACAACTCTGTCAACTCAAGAAGTCCAACACCATGTTTAAGTAGTCCATCATGTATATCTCTATTGATGTTCCATAAACTTGTCTTGTTTTTTATTTCCCTTCATCTTCCCTAGGATATGTATCTGCGTGTATCTGTGAAGTATCTCATACGTTTCTGGTAAATTTTAAACAAATAGTTATGAGACTTGTAGGATACGTATCCCCGCGTATCTATGGGGGTATTGATATCTGATATGGATACTTCCTCAATTTTGAAGTATTGGGCCTTCATAGGTTAGAATGAATTGCCTTGCAATATTTAACATCGATAACCATTCAATATTTAACATCGATAACCATTCAAGTTTCCCCTATCGGTATCCTGTATCCACTTTATCTGCTCAGCCATGGGAGCATACGTGGTAATTAAAGTGCTGAAGCTTAAACCACTCATATCTGTTGACCCTCAAGATCGCTGGAAAAGAATCTTCCCTATGTCATTTGCGTTCTGCATTAACATAGTTTTGGGAAATGTGAGCCTACGGTACATTCCCGTTTCTTTCATGCAAACAATAAAATCATTTACTCCTACAACAATAGGTAATATCCATTAGTTGGTTACATAGAGGCTACCTGCTTTATGTAGTAATTTTAAGAACAATATCATCTGATCTTTGTGAAGTTGCACAGTTGTCTTGTAGTGGCTAGTATGGAGGAAATATTTTGACTGGCGTATTTGGGCTTCTCTCATACCCATTGTTGGAGGGATTCTTCTGACATCTATTACAGAGCTTAGTTTTAATATGTTGGGATTTTGTGCTGCCTTATTTGGCTGTTTGGCTACTTCCACAAAGACTATCCTTGCAGAGGCGCTATTGCATGGTTACAAATTTGACAGGTACATAATTTATGCTTTTCCTTTTCTATTTGTACACTTCCCTATCCTATTTCTTACATTCTGTTTGTTAGTAACGACTGTTAAGAACCGTGTCAGTTACATTTCCCTCATTACATAGCTCCTATCATTTCTCACATACCTTCTTAGTGAAGGGTCTCTTATCTCTTTCTTTCCTTTCTCCATTTATCCTTTTTCTTAAAATTTCTTTGTAGATTTGTAGTGGTTGAGTCTGTAATGCCTTTTCCTTCTTGTGGATAATGTATTTTTGGATCCCTTTCTAGTTATTTTTAGAAATATTATTTTTATGCGGGTGGAAATGAGGTTGCAGAACTAGGGTTAGAAACCATTATGTATTGAAGACAAGAAAATTTAAGTGCTGTTAAATTTGATTGCAGCACCTGCTACTGGCATGCAGCAACGATGAAACATGATAATGTTTTAATTGTTTTCTTCTGGATTTTACACAAAAAATGGGGGCGTGGCTGATTTTGTTTCATGGCTCTATAAACTTGAACTAAAAGTTCCTTACTGCTAAAGTTTTGATTGGACAAGGGAAATTGTGGTTGGGTAGTATTGCAGTGATAATCGTGATACCAAGCTATTGATTAACTTGAATCTTAATTCTTAAATTCACAACCGGACTTTGATTTATCCAAAGGAAAGGTTAAAGAAAGAAAGACCTTTTGCGCGATGTAACAACAACGCTAAGAGATTCGGGGATCGGGGGTTGGTTATGCATAGGGTAGGTATTCCACATCGTAAACATCTGTAGTACTCTACATAAATCTTTTGTTTGTTTGTATGCTAATACTTGTTAAATGTTTGCTATGGTTTGGAATTGGGTATAAGGTGTAGGTAAAGACCTAAGGATAGTTTCTAAGTTTGGTCGCAAGGATATCACATCCTCTGCCTACGTATCCTTACTAGGATAGAATTAGAGCAATCGTAGTTCACCTCACTAGGGATGAAGAACACTTGATTATGATCAAGGTTCAAGGGGGAACAAACATCACAATGCTTGTGTAGAGTTTTAACAAAACTCTCTAGATCTATGTTGGACACTAAAGAAAGGAGAGTAAGTAATCATATCCATGATTCTTACATAGAGTTAACCAAACTCTACCTAACTCTACGTTGTAAGACCAATTGGTTCTATCCAGACCAAAAGGAGGAAGAAGGGAAAAGGTTGCTCGTCAAGATATCGCATCTTGTGCCTACGTATTCTCATTATCCAATGAGAAATCAGAGCGGCCATAATTCAAGAATGAACTACAGAATAAGGATCATTTGGTTCTTTTCAGACCAAAAAGAGGGAGAAGGTTCTATCTAGACCTATGAATTTAAGACCTATTGGTTCTATCCAGACCAAAAGGGGGGGTTGAAGATTCTATCCAGACCTATGAGTTTAAATCCTATTGGTTCTATCTAGACCAAATAGGGGGAGAAGGTTCTATCCAGACCTATGAGTTTAATCCTATTGATTATATCCAGACCAAATAGGGGGAGAAGGTTCTATTCAGACCTATGAGTTTAAATCCTATTGGTTCTATCCAGACCAAATAGGGGGAGAAGGTTCTATCCAGACCTATGAGTTTATATCCTATTGGTTCTATCCAGACCAAATAGGGGAGAAGGTTCTATCCAGACCGATGAGTTTATTGAGCTATCTATGACCCAAGGGTCAATAGAGAGACTTTCCTTTGGAAGGGAAAAGATGAGGCAACTTGTATGAGAACTAAATAGTTCCATCACTTGGGGGAATATAATCATTCAAATACGGTGAAGATAAAAGGCATGGTTACAACCAAGAATGAGCAAGCATATTGCAATAAGCAAGGATTTATATCAGGATGAATGGTTACGACCAAAGCAAGTATCAAGATATTACAATATCAAGAAGGGGTAAGTTCTTACAAGACTTAAGCATAGGGAAGTCACAACCACAAACATATCTTAACAAAGATGGGGATATATCTTAACAAAGATGGAAGAGGGTCTTAACAAAGATGCATCTTAACAAAGATGAGGCTTCCTAGGGCTTACAAGATGACATGTATACTTATAGGCATCATGCCTAATCAAATAATGTCATAACAAGGAGGGAGAAGTTCAATACTTCATGGGAGAAAACTTTCAAGTTTCAAAAATGAATTGATCATAAATGCTTACAAGCAAGTACAAAAAGAGTTAACAAACATGTACATATCAAGTGCAAATCAATATCATGAAATTGAATCAAAAGTTTCAAAAGATGATTGAAGGGAAGGAGGGTAAAAACCCTAAAAAATGGAGCATGACTTTCTTATAGTATAAAGTGTTTCTAAAATATAAATTCTAGAACTCTTTAAGTATTATATAAAAATATGCAACAATACAAAATGTTTGTAAAAAGAATCATTCAAAAATGATAAAAGATGACAAAGTTATGTTGTTTTGAATTTTTAAGAAAAAATCAAAGAAAATAGTGATTAAAAAGAGTAGAGTGTCTACACCAAGGGTAGAACTCACGACCTTGTGATTACAGGTCCAAAATCTCACCACTCCATCTAGCACGCGTGCAGTTGAAATCTTAATGGAAGAGAGAGTTGAAATACAAACCAATGATGAAAATCAAAATAAAATACAAAAGAGTCGTCCCGCAATGATCGAACTCAGGATGGCAAGGACATGAATACGCAGGCATAACCACTGGGCCACCCCAACAACATATGACCTTACAAAGCCAAATATTCTGGGAAAAATTCAAGGTAAGCTAAAGCAAATAATATGAAAACGATTCAAATCCAAACTTGATCAAATCATCATCAAACCTAACAAAATTTGACTCTAACTTGCTTGATTTTTAAAGAGGAACACAAAGGTGCCAATTTTTTTTCAAAACAATGCACATAAAGTAAAATGCGATTGGCCATGCAAGACAAGGTTTTGAAGTTGCATTTTGGTATTCCAATACATAAAACAGATGCACTTAAAGTCATGTAAGGGTCTGAGCAAGTTGTAAACATGATGTAGACTGAATTCCAACAACAAGTTTGATCAAAATACATTAGAATGAGAAATTGGCACATGAGTTGCAAGTTGGTGAAATTGGTGTTTTGAAGTTTAGTGTCTCAACAATGTTTAAAAAAAACCATGACAGTAACTGCAACCTATCTAAATGGCATAAACTGCAAACATACACACAAGCTGCCAAGGAGAACGAAAACTGAGGTTACTAAACCCTAGGTACTGATAGCATTTCAACATATCAGTAAACTTACTAAGGGCCTTGACAACAACAAAACCTATATGGATCCCTTACAACAAAATTAACCTAAACTAAGACACAAGGCACTGAGCTGATCCTAGATGAATTCTAGATGACTAAATGCAAACCTAATGAGGATCTTAAATGGTAAACTTCTCAACAGAATTGTGGACAGCAAATAGAGCATCAAGACAAACTCTACACCATGTCATCCCGGCCTGAGTTCAAATAGTGATAGCTTCCTCATCCATAAACTCAACAAACAAAGAACCCTAATTAGTCCTATTACTCCAAACCTCTTAGCCTGCCTCAAACATATTAACCATGCTCAGCAAACCTGAGGCCTTCACAAGACATCCCTCATGCAACAGACTAATTGCACTAAACAACCCACAATTTTCATGACAGCAGTCCTGGTCCCCCCCTCCGCCGCCGCCTATTCCAATCTAACACTAACCACAACCTAATCCAACTTCCTAACATGATAAACCACCCTTGGCAGCAGCTGAGCATGAGTTGACATACTCCCTTCAAGAACAGTTATGGATAAAATGGTGACAACCTCAATATGCACCTCCAAAATCTAGTTGACCAACTAAATACTAAATGCTTTCAACAGAAACCACAAACCATGACCAGGACATGCTGCACCCTAGTAGGTACAACTATCATGCTAAATCGCACACAAAAATGCCATATCTTGGAAAATGGAATGCAAACAGAATTTAGCAAGCTCTAGGTATGATATCCATTGATGAATTCCAAACATATTGATTTTTCAAAAGCAACTTATGGAAACAAGATCATAGCATGGAAAAAATATTGTTTTGTTTTTGAGAAAACTACAGGCCCTAGGCATTTACAAAGTGCAAGAAAAACCAATGACAGTCTAAAGTTGTACTATTGACAATCATTAACTAAATGCAGACAAAGGAATTTGATAGATCAGAAGTTAACAAACTTCAAGGCATAGACTAACAGACAGGTTTTGGCATTCCAATCAATACTTGTTGGAGAATTCCAACCATAGTGCCTTCACAAAGACAAAACACATATTTACATTCCAATTAAACTTCATGTATCACATATGAACATAAACAACAACAATCAAACAGCAGCCCTGCTACATTGCTTAAAAAAAAACAGCAAGCCTAAACCAAACACAAAACAGTAGTTCAAATTGTCAAAGAGGTATACTTGTCATGACAATGTCAAGCATCACACTCAAAATGTATCTCTCATGACGGTTATAACCATTTGACAGCAAAACATACTACAAAATAGTGTTGGTCATCAAGAATCAAAACATGCCTTAACAGCATCACATGAATCATCCCAATGTCTTTAACCAGTCCAAACAAAATTATACAACTTAACAGTAAACTTACATAACAAGATTAAAAGCTTTTTACCATAAAAACATGATCAAAGAAATTTGGTTTGAAAAAAAACAGAAATAGCACCCAAGTTTGTTATCACAATGCAAACATTAACTCAATTACAAGTAAGCACTTGAACCACCACAACCCAACTATAGTTTCACAAGCACAGTGGTGTATTCTAACATTAACAGTCCTTAACTCAGAATGATAGTACCACATACAAGTTTCAAGCAGTTATAAACATGAGCTTACAACATTCAAGACATTTTGTCAGCCTATCTATAATTTAGCATAAAAATGTCTAAACTATCTAAACAAACTAACAACATAATCATGATGCATAATGAGGAGGTTTAGGGCTACATACCTCTTGTAGACCTCCTAAAGCTAGCTAGCTGCCAAGAAAACAGAGATTCCTCCTTGAGAAAAACTAGTGTGAATTGCTTCTTTTTGAAAAAATAAACAAATATTGAGGACAGTTTGAGTAAATGCACTTCCAGCTATGATTTAAGATTGTGGATAGCTAGAGTATCATGGATATGATGTATTTTGAGTGTTAAACTGGTAGGAATGGATACAGGTAGTGATTTGGTATGAAAGGTGCACAAAAGTCAAACTATGGTAGTGTGAAGTTTGACTTTTTGACCTATGGATTTTTTTTGGTGAATGTGATGATGGAAACAACTTCAGATGGTTATTTTAAGGTTGTGTATATGGTTTTTATGGGGTTTGAATGATTGGGAATGAAGCTGGTATGAGACTTGCACAAGGCAATTTTGGTGGTTTTGGAGGGTTTCTTTACTTTCAAGAAAAGAGGGGAAGGAGATGACAGCTGTATTTCTCTAGGGTTTAGAGTGCTCTGGTGTAGTTTGAAGAATGGAATGAGCCCCCTTTTTATAGGCCAAGGAAGGTTGGGGCAAAACTGTCTTTTTGAATTGCAAGCTTGCATTGGTGGGAAACCTCAATATTTCAAAAGTGTGTCTGCTGGTTTAAGGTTAACTCCAACAGTTAATGTCCTCACTAACAACTATTATTAAGCTGGCTGTGCTTAACATAGTTATGCTGCAGCAAAACCAAAGTTTCTTACACAATCTACTTTGGTATTTCAACATAGTAAACAAGGGGTTTATGGTGAGATTTTTAGTTTTCCCTTGGTTCTCCCCCACATGGTTCAAACCCAATATTAACACCATACCAGATATGTATTTATGGTTAGAAATGAACTATATGGCTGGAAATCCAATTTATGTTGAATTTTGAAAAGTTGACAAACTAGTGCTCAGACCCAACTTGCTTCATTCGAAACTATCATCTCACAAGGGCTATGGAAGAGTTCTAGTACTTTCTAGAAAGCTCTCATAGAGCTCTACAACTTTCATGTTCACTGAATTTACGAACTCCAAGTGGAACTAGGTCAAATATCCCTTCAAAGTTGGCTGAAAACATGATTTGCAAGGCCAGAAAACTTAGAAATTTTCTAAGTATTTTCCCCTCTTGTAATGATTTTGATCATAACTCGCAATCCACTCATTTGTTTCACATGGACCCCTGTGGGACTTTTATAGGCATTGTCAAGACCTTTCCAAAAAGCTTTGAACCACCTCAATTGGATGTGTGGTTAAAGAGTTATGGTCTTGCCCCTTTCAAAACCCTAATTTACTGATTTCTTGATTACTCCTCAATCCTTGATCCAATGATCATGAAATTTCATGGATAGGTGAAATATGTTACTAGAAACATTTTTTATTTAGACTTTAAGGTCAAATTCCTCATGGTTGGAGAGTTGACGTTTTGGTCAACGAAACGATCGATTGATGACTACCGAGTCGACTGTTGACATTCTGAGTCTTCTGAGACCTTGAAACTTATTGTGTGGACTTCAATAATCCATATGAGCTTCATGGACCATAATTCCATCATTGGAATACCTTTTAAACCAAAAGTCAAACTACAGGTTACTTTTCCTGATCGGAAACTCTAATCGGGGATTCTGCACTGCACTGTCTTTAATCTTTGGGTAACGACCTCAAATTGGATTCATACTTGACCCAATGGAGTATCTTTGATGATGTGTAAAGTTGTTTCATGGAGAATCAATCCAATACATTGACTGATTAAACCGTCGAGACATCGATTCTTGATTGTACGGAACCCTAATTCACCTATATCTTGACAAAGACAAACTTGAAATAGGTTATGGTTAGATAAAATGAAAATGACCCTAGAATTATGATGAAGATCTAAGGGGTAAAAATTTGGGGTGCAACAGGTAGTTCTAAGTTTTTTCATTCTGTGAATGAATCCAGTTCGTCTTTATTGGAGGCAACCCTATTTGTGCGCCCTGGGGTTGCCTTAGCTTTAAGTTCTGAATTTGTTGGCAAAAGAAGAACATTGTCTGTTGTTGATACACTATCTAGAACGTTTTCGGTTCCATCTGTAAATGGGCCTTCGATAAAGGTCTGTGGTTATCATATTGATTGTGCTCTTTCTAGACCGGGTAAGTTTTCAGTTGGTGACAAGTTTCAGATTAAAACAATGGTTGCCCGCTTACCTGGGATGGCTGGTGGTTAAGGCTCTTTAGATTACTTGACTCTAAAGGGTGGTCGAGGTTCATTGGCAACAAAGAGTAGCAATAATGTTTATTTGAACACTGGTTTGGGAAATGGTGGAAGAGTGAGCATGAGTTTGAATAACCATCAGCGGCCAAATAATGGTGCAATTTTTGGTTATTTTGTCTATAATGTTGCAAAGAGTTGGTGCAGTTCTTTTTGTTTTACACAGTTGGGGAAAGGGGATTTCCATATTTCGCCAACATCATGTAACTCTGTTGGCCCCGCTAATGACTCCCCTTTTGACACTGATGCCCGGGAGGAGAAGAAGCTAACAAATTATGCAGATTCATCTAAACTGTAAGTTGTATTTCTTTCATGATGTCAACGTAACAATATCAATTCTCTACAGTTGAATCAATATATAAAATTGTAGTGTTGCTTGTGTTGCATTGTGCACCTTAGTGACCTATTATATGTAGTTTGACTGTTTGACATACTAAAATTTATTGATTTATGCTCTAAGGGTACTTTAAACTTGTTAAAGAGTTCTATACCGAACATTATATAGCCCGAACATGTGTTTTAAAGTGAGGAAAATACTCACCTTACAAGCCGGTTTTGTAGGGATGAGTTAGGCCCAACCCATACATTCTAAGGCAGTGTCACAATCTCTTTCCAGATCCCTTCGGCCATATGCTATCTCATTTATGCTATCGGACAACCTGTCATTTATATCCACGCTCCAAATGTCCATTCCCGAGCGTGAGAGTGTGTGTTAAAAAAATCCCATATCACACATAGCCTGAACATGTGTTTAAAAGTGAGGGCTATTCTTACCTTACAAGCCTATTTTGTAGGGATAAGTTGCGCCCAACCCACACATTCTAAGAAAACTGAACATTGTGTAAAAGAGATATGATTGAATTGAGTCCCATCTATACACAACAAGGATTACCGAGCTCTTTTAGCATTAATATTTTTAGATCACTGAAAAGCTGACAATTATTGATCATTTGCATTTGACTTGTGCCTTTTGGGAATATGAACATAATGATCAACTAACCCTTCTCATACTTAATACTAGTTAGTATAATAATAGGAAGGGTTGAAAAGAAGGCTATCTCATCATTTGAACATAATGAAAAGAAGGCTATCTCATCATTTGCTACGTTAACTTAAGATTGCAGTTATTTATTCATAACAACCACTTACTAAAGTGCTTGGTGTTTTTGTTACATGATTAAATTAAAGTAGAGGAATATTTATGTTGTCTGGATATGACACAGTTCAATTAGCACATGCATATTAATTGGAGCAATAAGCACTAAATTAGCAGATACTTTTGTACATTTAAGTCATAAATCAGGTAGGTTGAAGCTTAGAAATCTTGTTGTAAAAGATTCAAGTCTATCTTGATGTTACCATTGGATGTAACTAAAAATATTTCCAACTAATCAAATTATATTTTCATATATTACTTTTTATTAACATTGCCAACCATGTTTATGATGAGGTAGCTCTTACTTCACACTCAAGTCTCTAAAGCTTATGCCGGTGCTAATTGAGCTACAAGCTCAATGGTAGTGCCTGTGTTTATTTTCTCTTTCTCCAAATATTGTATATGGACTGATATCTGGAATACTCTCTTGATTTCTCAACTAAATTGCCCTTTTTATGTCAATTAGCTTCCAAAAGTTTCAATGATTTCCAGAACTCAAGAATATGAAGTATGAACATCTTAACTACCGTAGGCTGTCTGTCAAAAAATTTCTGATCAAAATCCACTTAGGTGCCATGTTTTTAACATTTACTGTTGTGTCTACTTTTATGCATTAATTTTAAAAAAATAAAAAATGTTTCCATTGTGCAAGTGATGATATTTATTACCTACTTTGTTTTAGATATGCTATACCTTGTTCTGTTCTGTGCTTGAATAAGTTTTGCTTTGTCATGATTTTTCTGCAGTATATAAACTAACTGTTCTTGTTTGGTATGTGTAGCATAAACACAGTTTATTACATGGCCCCTTTTGCAACCCTGATCATGGTGTTACCTGCTATGTTACTTGAAGGCACAAAATTCTTGACTGGCTAAGTATTCACCCATATCCTTGGGCAGCCCTGATCATTATTTTTAGCTCTGGTGTTTTGGCATTCTGCCTTAACTTCTCTATTTTTTATGTGATTCACTCCAATACGGCTGTTACATTTAATGTTGCTGGAAACCTTAAGGTGAGATCAGTCCGGCAGATTCAAATCCACTATATTATTTGCTATTTGGTCTTACATTATGATTCTTTCGTCATATTTGTGGTCAATTGGTTCATTTCATGTATATCACACACTGATGGTGTGTGTGAACAGTGCAACCAAACTGTGATGTCTTACAAGTTTTGTGGTCAATTGCGATTTATGAAAGAGGTCATCATGGAAAATGAAATTATGATCCCCATAAATGTACGTGATTTTAATTGTTATTAATTTGTAAATTAATGTAATTTAGTTCTAATACAATTGTTGATGTTTTTGTATTTGAAGTACTTTCCTGACCACAAATGTCATACTACTCTAAGGATAAGTTAACTGAAGTCAAAGAGGATTGGCTACCTATATGGTGGATGATATTTTCGGTCAGTTTTCTAAAGCCTACAATATATAGATACTTAATACCTTACTTGCATATTAAAAGTTTGAATTGGTTGTACCATTTTCACTTAAGGTGTTCATTTGAATCCTGTTGTTACCATTGAACTTGGTTAGGTAAAATGATGTTCTTCATAATGCAGTATTTTTTAATTATATATTAAAATTTTGTTTTCAGGTATTTGTTTTCTGATTATTGTACAATACATAATCAATATTCTTTATATGATACAGGAAAACAAGAAGCAATGATTTTGCCTAGCTAGCTAGCAAAGTGGTTGTATCTTTGGATGTAGTAGTGCTTTGGTTCGCAAAGTGGTTACTAGCTACTTGATGTTGTTTTGTTGTCCTTTCTTGTTTTTTTAGATGTTTTTTTTCATTAGTTTAGAGAATATGCTTAGCTAAGTGATTTTACTTTTTGTTTGGAATTTGGTTTGAAGTACTCTTAGCCAAATTAATAACTAGTGGCAAAATATTTTAGCCGTGTTTATAAAATATTTTGGTTTGAAGTACTTTTAGCCAAATTAATACATAGATACAATTACTTATGTGTTATTATGGCAGTGATATAAATATATATGGTATTACATTTGTCATTATTATTTTATTTTCAAATATTTTACCTGCTTAGTCATTATTATTTTATGAATTCTAATGTCGTAAAATGCAAATGACATATATATATATATATATATATATATATATATATATATATATATATATATATATATATATATATATATATATATATATATATATATATATATATATATATATATATATATATATATATATATATATATATATATATATATATATACCAAAAGAATGATTTTGTGTAAAAAAAAGTGTACTACAATAGCGTTTTAAAGAGAGTGTGGTATCAACGATACGTACTATAATAGCAGTTTTATGGAAAAGTGCTATCTAATATGTGTCATATAATAGCGTTTTGTTTGAAAGTGCTATCAAAATCAAAGCAAATTATCGGTACTATAATAGCGCTTTGTTTGAAAGTGCTATATAATATGTGTCTTATAATAGCGCTTTTGGAAAAATGCTATTAAATACCAGTACTATAATAGCACTTTTGGAAAAACGCTATTAATTACCAATACTATAATAGCGCTATAAAAAATATTTTTTTTTTATAATAGCAGCCTCGTTAATAGCGCTTTTAAGCGCTATCAAAAAGAAAAAAAAAAAAACGCTATTAAATAGCTTTTTTGTAGTAGTGGAGAAATACATAAAACATTTGCAAAAATAATGGAGAACAAATGTTCTAGGCCCAATACGAGTAATCCTTAAAGACAAAGTGTACTTCACTAAGTTACACTAGTTTCCAACCGATAACAAACTTCCTTTTTGTTTTTATAAATCAACAACGTTTTTTTTTATTTTTTAAATATATTATATTAATATATTAATGTAAATTAATTGTTGATATTTATAAAATCATTTTTTTTCAAAAGAATAAAAATAAAAATATTATATTAATACATTAATATAAATAAATTGTTGATATTTAAGAATCAATAACTTAAAAAAAATTAATATATTATTCTCAATATTTTGATAATATTATCATTTTGTGGTTATTTAAAATAAAAATAGTATAAAATTACTAAATAAGTGAAATAACATATTTATATTTAATGTTTGACAGTGTCTCAGTTGAAAAATAAGTGAAGTCAAAGAAAAATATCATTTTGGAAGCTTTCTCAACTAAGATTGGAGTTTGTACCTCCTTACCAGCTAAATTGCATAAAGTTATGCTTACTATCGAATATGCTAACATGAATAACTTGAGAAATCTTTGCTTAAAACTAATTTAATGTTGAACATTTGTGCATTTTCTAATGTAAATATTGTCCTTTAGCATCTTTGAAGTAAATGGAAGAATACTTTACACACTATTTAATAGTAATGTAATGCTCTAAACTCATGCTCATCTATCATCACATGATTAGTGATGAATTAATGATGTTAAAAGAAAGAGGATGAGAGTTAAGAAATCCTAATGGCATTATTAAATATTTTTAGCAAAGAACAAAGGTAGAAGTGTCAATTTCCCAAGTCATTATATAAGCTTCAAGGGAACCAAAATTCCATATTTGTGCATTGTGTTTCTCTCACTTTAAACTTAGATTTTGAAGTGAGGGTTGAGAGAGGAGAGGAACTAGAGGAGTTCTTAGAGTAAGAATGAGAAAATTCATCACCAAGAACCACCACTACCAAGTTTCATGTGTGATTTCTCTTGTTTTATTGGAGAAACATACTCAAGGAAGCATTTTGATAACCATTTATCCTCTCATCATTTCATCTCCATCTCAAATTCAGATTCTAAGTTAAAGCTGGGGTTTCTTAGTTATAATCTTAGCCTTAACATGTTAATAGCCAAGTAGATTGAAAATTCATTCCTAGGTTATGTGAAATTTCTTGTTTGTCAATGCATGATGATTATGATATGAATGCATGATGAATGAAATTCTATGTTGTAATACCCCAGATTTCCTTAAATACTTAAATCTTTATCAGCTAAGATCAACTGAGTTTCTATATGTTCTAAAAGTTGTTAGTTGGGACAAATAAAGTAATTAGTGAACTCAGGTTGACTTAATTATTATCCTTTGAGACTGACCTTTTATTAACTGGTACAAGAAAAGACATTTTAGTAACATTAATAATGTGTCACTTACTCTAGTAGAGAGAATATTGTAAAGAAATATCACATTAGATATTTCTTTCAAACTCATTTAATTCCAACCACTCATTCTTATTATATTTACCCTCCACTCATTTGTTTTCTTCTTCTTTTGCTACCAACCACAGTGCCATTTTGATATATAGTAATCCAAAAGGGAAGGAACATAAAATTAGAAAGGAAAGAAACATAGGAGGGAGAAGCATAGAATAAAGAAAAGGAAACTTGGAAGGAAGGAAGATGAAGCTTGAAGAAGAAGTGGAAACCTCTTCTAAACCAAATCCATTTCATCTTTCATCATATTATCGAGGTAGGTTATAGTTAGACCTTTTCTTGAGATATAAATTAGGGTTTTGCGTTGATGCTATCTGATGATTAGTAAAGATTCATGATAATATATTGTGTATTTTATCTTAATTATGGAAATTATCATGAATATATAGTTTACTTATGATTTCCATGATTGTTGTGGTTATTTCTATTGTTGAATGTTGTTGTTGTTGCTATGAATATATGTTTCATGAATTGGGAGAACCATGTTGCATATGTGTTTGGTTATTGAAGTTATGTCATATGATGTCTTGTTTACCGTGGGTTGCATTTTTGAAATGGTTAAGCATGGATGAATTGGGAAGAGAAGATGTTAGAAGTTGTGATTTTAAAAGAAGAACATAAACCAATCGATTAGTTATGGGTCCTCTGCCAAAGCAATCGATTGGTTATGCTTGTTTATTGAAGAAAACTGAATTTTTACACTATGACAATTGATTGGCTCACAACAACAATCGATTGGTCCACCTTTATTTTGCAAAAAAAAATAGACAGAAAGATCATGACAATCAATTGTTTCCATCAACTAATCGATTGGTTACTTTCTAATTTTGAGAAATTAATTACAGAGAGTTCCAACCAATTGATTGCTTCACCCAACCAATAAGTTGGTCTATTATATTTTTGTGAAAAATATGGGCAGGGAGGTCATATCAATCGATTGGCTCCGATTTGCAATCGATTGGATCATGTTGTTTTCTTCATATCTTTTTCTTTGGATGATTCTTAGGATACTATATCTTCTAACACATACCATGTTATATATATATATATATATATATATATATATATATATATATATATATATATATATATATATATATATATATATATATATATATATATATATATATATATATATATATATATATATATATATATATATATATATATATATATATATATATATATATATATATAATAATAATAATAATCAACATATGAGTGTATTTCATGATAAAAAAATGTGATTTAACCTAGGATTTTGATTAGGTTAAAAAGATTACAAACATAACTTAGATTACAAGAATAACTTAGACGATGATGCTTGTACACAATGGTACCTCGGTGTGTATCGTGGACGAGTAATCGCTCAACTTAGGAATAATAGGCCTTGCATGGAACATGTGATAATGATGTGAGCATTGGTGAATGAGATCACTTAGTGTTTGACGGATTCAATCACGTTATGTAGAACTAAGCACATATTCATATAATTTTCGTTGATCGTGCACATCCATTTTTTGAGATGCTTATGTAAAGTAGAAAATGGGATGTGGCACCAATGATTTGTGCCTCAAATGGGTTTGAGTCCCAACTATGGTTGAGCCATGAGCGAGAGGGGGACACCCAAGTGGGTTCGAGTCTCATACGGTGAAAGATACTTAATATGGGTTTGAGTCCTATACAAGTGTTTG